GGTTGATAAGATATAGATATGCTGCTAAAGCATCACAAAGTAGAGTAGAAAATTGATGTTGTAGTGCAAGATGATAATTAATTGCTAATTATAATGTATTAAATAAATTAAAATGGTTAATTGTATCCTTGAATCAAATCTGAAGAAATTCAGAAATTAAATATTTACCAAAAACTGAGCACTTAGCATTTTCAGCAATCTGATGAGTAAGACTGCGGGCTAATTTAGATGATCCCTTATAATATCTTCTACCAAACAGATAAAGTACTACTCTTCCTGTATCCTCTTTATCCTTAACCTTAAGCCATTCTCTGTATAATCCATCATTATTAAAATCTTTCTATTTTTCATCAATAATGTCTTCATATATTTTCAATCCATCCACCAAATGCTCCTTGCTTTTAATCCTATACTTCTCATCTAATTTAACTTTATTTATAATGAAATTATCTGGAATTGTTACAGAAAATTGATCTAATTGTTTGTTCATTTCTTCTATGGATTTGTCTTTATAAAATTCATCAAATTCTTTGATTTGTTGTAATATCTCATAATATTGCAGAGAAAATGAAGATTGGGATATTTTTTTTGTTTGATTATTCATTTTCTTCTTCTCTTTATATATTTTTTTCAGTATGTTTATTCTTTCCGACTTTTATCACCGATTTAAAGTTGATACCAGACTTATTTCAATAATTGCATAATTAAATTCTATAGAATTAGATATTATTATTAATCAATAGAGCCAATAAATAATAGTTCTATTTATTTCTAATTGCTAGATACTCAATGTAGAAATAACCTTCCAAAACAACATGCATGCATAGTTATTTCTTTAGAAATTATTTCTAGAATATCTCCAATAGTAAATTGAATAGTATAACAAATTAAAATTTTAATTTCTTTATTTAATTAACATATTTATTAACATAGTATAGAAAATAATATAGTATAGAAAACAGAAAGTAGCATACTTTCTAATTGGGATAGATCTTAGTACAAATTCCTATTTTTAATAACTATAAATAAATATAAACCAGTAATCTTCTATATTTATTGTAAAATCCTGATTTTTTCTTGATGACTTTCAAAATACTTGCAATGTTTACTCTTTTTTGGTAGGATCTACTAATCTCGCATTTTCAAATACTATTTCTTCTATTATTCGATTATCGAACTATTATTTGAAAAATAATATTATTAACTATTTAATAGTATCTATTTACTATTATTTATTAAAGTATCGTATTCTACTCGAGTAATGTTTTTTTATCTTTACGTAAAATACAATATCATACTGCTTTTAATCTTTTGAGTATTTTTAAAAGTGTTCTGATCTGAGTTTGTATATTTATTTTTTCTAGTAATTAACAATTTTGACTTTTTTTGCTTTGAATTTTTTAATAGTCTGATGAATTGATAATCATTGATCGGCAAAGACAAAAGCAAAAAATTGTTGATCACTTCTAGATTTGTACAATATAATTTAAAAACGAGCTTGATAACTACCCTTGATAAACAATAATTAATTTTGGTTTATATTTATTAACTAGTACATTTTGTTGTTGCTTACTTTCCCAAAGTCCACCTTCCTGAAATGCTATTTCTTCGATTCTATAATTTTAATATTCTTTTTTTCCAACAAGACCTATTTCTGACAACTTAGTTTACCAACAGTTTATTTAGTCCATCCAGTCTCTAATAAGACTGGTCTATTAATCTGTTTTCATTACAACTGTTTTCATAATTCTGAAAAAGCTGACCGATTGAATATTTATCGATTCGATAGGTTTTGATTTGATAGCGATTATTACTGAAATCATAAACTTATCAAATTAGCAAAGATTCAGTCGATCGATTTTTTGCTAAACGTTTCAGAATTTTTGAAATAGCTGTAATTTTGGAACATTTGGTAAAAAAAAAAAAGACCAAATGATTGTTTAATTTTGGTATAATTATTGTAATATTGATTAGTAAATCAAAACTTACGTAAAATATATAAAATACTACAAGGCTCTAAATGATCTCTATTTTTATATCCTAACCAAAGTTTTATCTCTGATTGTAACTTATGAAATACCAGTTATAGAGTTTAGACCCGAATATACAGATACCCATTTTGATATATCTGTTTTATAAAAGCTATATCCAGGTAACTGTGGTATTTTAGTTTTTGGATATTCAGATAAATCCTATAGATAACTAGATAACCTTCCGGATATCCAGATAATCATGCGGATATCTGGATAAATCAGATAATAGAGGTCAGATATGTTATAGATAGCATTCAAAAGTACTTTTAGCAAATTCAGGATGTAATCTATCGCATATTTGAATAGCTAATACTTTATTATACTCAATATCGTAATAGATAGTCTTTGTATAGATACTTCAGTCATAATAATACCTAAAACTATAGATTCTTGCTATAATTATATATAGTTTTCTATTTAACACTCCTGGTAAGTATAAGACAAAGTGCTATAGATAGGTTCTTCTAAGTCAAGTTCTTTATTTTTCTAGATAATCTTAGATCTGCAATATAAGAAACTAAAGTTTCATTTATATATTGATTTACAATTACTAGTAAAATTTAAAATATTTGCTGTGTTGAATAGTACGATTTGAATATCACTCAAAGTACTATTCAAATTGCCATTTAATACTATTATATGATTTCACGAACATGCATACCCACAAAGTCATGTGATAGTATTGAATAGCAGTTCTAATGTAGCATTCAATCGTGCTATTCAATACGGCAAAATTTTAAATTTACAAGTAAATATATTGCGCTATGGAACATCTTCTACTCCATATACTTTTAACTAATTCTGATCTGTCAAGCTGCTTCAATTTACTTTTTTAAAATTTGATATAAAAATTTATAAGTTTCTTTATTTGCATATTGAAATGGGTCTAATCTCTAATTATGGGTATCCGTGGATACCTGCAGATACCCACAGATATCCATTAGGTTATCCTTTAAAAATTAACAGATAAAGGTTTTTACCTGTAAGACATTTATAGCATCCAGATATACGGTTAACTATACAGATATCTGGATATGCGGTTAACAGGTCCAAACTCTAATACATTCAATGTTATAAATTTTTAGTTGAATGTTTTATATTTAGTTTGTATAAAGAAATATAAAAGCCTCCAAATATAAAATATGCTTTTATAATAAACATATTACATGAGTAGTGCTAATATTAAAAATTTAGATATAATCAAGAATTTTATTGATTGTTTAAAGATATAACTCAAGAATCCATTCAAAAAAAACTTGATTTTATTAATATCTATTACAGAAGTTTTTAATATATCAATATCTTCGAAAGTATTTAAGAAAAAAACTTGATAATATTTAAGATTTTACAATTTTTGAATAATAAGCTTTTTAAATTTTTTTAATTATTCGTTTTGAAGATACTTTGAAAGCATAATGTTTCTGTATTTGATCTGAGATATTCGTAACAGTATAATATTTATATTAGTTACCTAATCTTAATTACACATGTGTGTATATACATATGAATCATCAATTTATAGAATCTATTATGCCAAAATCACTTAGTCAAATCGGCCAAAAAATCATCCTGCTAATTTAGTAGGTAGCAATATATATATATTGCTACCTACTTACATTAGGTTGTTACCTACTTATGAATATATATTGTTATCTACTTATAGATATATTATTACCTACTTGTTTTATAGCTACTCATTTTGACCTTTATTAAGCTTGCGTCGTCATTCGTGTGATGAATGATTTACGCTTGCGTCATCAGATATATTAGTATTCACTCCATCATTCGAGTAACAAACGATTCATGCTTGTATCATCATTTGAGTGATGACGAGATCATGTATATGTTATCATTCGAGTGATGATTGGTTTATGAGTTCATCGTCACACTTGGGTACCCATGATCCACAAAAATGTGATAACAGATTTGTATTTGTGTCGTCATCCCGCATGTGTCATAATGACAGAAATGCGATACCATCGTCAGTGTCCTTCTGCGTTTTTTATTATAACCCAAATTCAATAACATTATTTGTATACTGGTTTGGTAATCGTGGCCGATTTCAGCCATTAGACTACATGGGTAAAAAATATATCTGACGATACATCCAGTTATATATCATCATTTGTGGGCCTGATGTGAGGGCTATGCCCAAATCTGGTATGTAGTGCCTTAGCTTTCTGGTTAATTCCTCGATTAGGGCCAGAGTTGAGGCACGTAGTGCCGAATTGTTATCTATTATATTACTCGAGGATGAGGCACGTAGTGCCAAATTGTTACTTTTACTTGGTGATACGTAAAAGCAAAAAATTTATCTTATCTCTTTCCTTATAATATTCTGCCTTTGCGTATCACTTTTTTTATATCTGAATTATACTATCCGATTTTTATTTTTCAGTTTTGAAAGCTCTTCTCGCATAGTTAGTAGTTCGAATATTGCTACTTTACAGTAGTGAAGCTAGTATAAGATGCTAAAAAAATCAGGTCATACTTATATGTACTCTTTCGCATATCACTTTTCTGCTAACTTTTGCGTATCACTTTTTTGATATCTACCTGATAATACGTAAAAGCTCAATTTTTTCTTACTATTGTATATCACCTTTTTTGGCACTTCATGTCAGCTCCGCTGATACCTACTTAATGATACGTAAAAGCTCAAATTTTTTCTTACCTTTGCATATCACTTTTTAATAATCTTTGCGTATCACTTTTTAGCGCTTCATGCTAGCTTTGCTGATATCTATCTAAATGATACATAAAAGCTCAATTTTTTTCTATTGTGAGCAGGCCATTAGGCAAATCAAAGAATTAAGGCTCTTCGAGTCTACTTTTGCATATCACTTTTTCGATATTCGTTTGATGATATATAAAGTTTGAGTCCGATAAAAATTACATGACACAAAAGTCCCTTTATATTGTCTAGGTATTGAAAGCATTAATTTTTTATTTGAATTTTTCCTTATACTTATTGTAAGAGGCGACAAAAATCCTCTACCTGAGATGAATAACTAGTTAAATATAGCAATCTCTCTGCTTCAGAAATTACTACTAAAACTAGATGATATTATCTTAAACAATAGTTACGCATATTCAATGAGTGCCAAAGATTTATTTTTCAATTCTTTTTTGTGCGGAGTAGTAGGTACACCCATCTTAGTCTTAAAATTTTATTTATATTTTAAGAAGTCGGCCTCACTCATACTCTCGCGCTCTTTTTTCCAGTAATTTTGATTATCCTGCAATTCAAAAATAATCTTGGTTCGCCATTGTTCTAATCCTTTTTTAGACATTTGAAATTTTTGCTATAAAAGAAGGATAAGGGTATCTATATCCGATTCATTTTTAATAAGAAATTCTGAAGATAGAGGAGTTAAGGATTCAGGTATTTTTTTTTCAACTGTCTTGACTTCACTAATAGTAGTATCAATATGGTATCTATCTTGAGAAAGACCAGTAGATTGATTATGAGCTGGCATTTCTAAAGATAAACCTTTTTCATCAATCATCCTACTAGACGAGTCAGAAATTTTATGCTCAATATATTTAAAAAGATCTTGAATCTCATTAT